AGAGAAGGCAGATCCTGCAGGATTGCCCTTGGATGAGGCCCGGAGAGGCAACTCCAGCCTTTCTCTCCTGGCAGAGCTGGCACAAAATAGAACCATGACTTGGGGAAGTACTTCTGGTCAGCACCTCCGTGACAGTGGATTTATATGAAGGAAGAAACCAAACCAAGCAAAATTCCAGCCTGCTGGAAGGCTGAGTCTCAGCCTGAGGCTTAGGAACAGCCCACCTCCAACTCCGGCCGTGTTCCGAGGGGAGCAGTGGCCCCGGATCCGTGAAACAGCAAAACTCGTTTGTGGTCCCACAGAGCAGCCTCTGCCAGCGCCCCTGGAGCCAGGGTGAAACCCGAGAGCTGCCACAATCCAAACCTTCTCCACAGCTCCTTTCATCTTCCTGGGGGGAAAACAAACAGCGCAGAAGCTGGAGCTTTGTGGCTGGGATGTCGCACATCTGGTTTGAGCTCCAAGAAATGCACTTCCACCCCCTCCCCGAATTGTTCATGTTAAACAAACAAAACCCCAGCGATTTTGTGAGATTTTGGCTCTGGGATAACTTTGGAGCAGCTTTCACTGAGAATTCCAGGCTTGTGCTGCTCTTCATCCCCAGTGGAAGCAGCACACCTCGCTCACTGGGAGGGAGGCACTTCCAAAGGGGAGCAGCTGTGCCCTGGAACCCCCTTACTGGGAATGCTGCTGGGAGTGGGAGTGTTCTTGACCACTCTGTGTTTAGGTTTCAATCCAGCATTTTTCCTGTGTAATTTATGCTTCCTCTCCCCCTTTTAAGAACGTCTGGAATTGTTTAAGATGTGTCCAATTGTATTAAGTTGCCTTTGAGAGCTTTATGGTGTCATTTGGATTCCCACTCTTAGGAACAGAGCTTTTCAATTTGCTGTTTTTCCCTTTTTTATCACATCAGCACCAACTTCCTTTCCGTGCTTTCAGGTGTTACCTCAGCCTGAAGTTCACACTAATCCCTGGACATCATTTCCATTTGACACTGTTCCAGTGATTCCCTGGTTGGTGCTGCAGGAGAAAGGGAGTGTCATTCCTCTGGGATCCTGTCCTACCAGCCCCTCCCTGTCGTCTTCCAGCAGAGGTGGATAAATCAGGGATGGTCATGGAATCATGGAATCACAGAGTGGTTTGGGTGGGAAGGCACCTTAGAGCCCATCTCATTCCCTGCCATAGGCAGGGACACCTTTCAGGAGACCAAAGCCCCGTCCAGCCTGGCCTTGGACACTTCCAGGGACAGGGCAGCCACAGCTTCTGTGAAAACAGATGAAAGGTGTGGGTGAAAGGGGTAGGAGCAGTTCTGATCCTCTCCCCATCCCCTCCCTGACTCACGCTAGCCCAATCCCAATCACACCCCTTCCAAAGCAGGGGACACATGAGTCACCAGTGACATCTGTCCCCTTGTCCATGCTCACTTGTGACCACCTCTAGCTCCTCCGGGCACGGGGACAGTCTCTGGAAGCCACGTTGACATTGTTCTCTCAAAGGACGGAGCTCCTCGGAAGCCGCGCAGCGCCGGGCCCGGGGTGTTCCCGGCTCCTGGAGCCCATCCAGGGCATCAAGTTTCAGAGCGGGGGCTCCCGGCAGCTGCACGGGAAAGGAGCAGCACCGAGACAGAGGGAGGAGCCATCGTTTCCATTGCAGAGATTCAATTTTCTTCCTCCTTCATCAGATTAACACCAGTGTTACTCCATTAACTGCCAGGGAGCTGCTCTTGATCTGAAAATCAGAGCTGATGGAGTGTCACAGAATCCCAGACTGGTTTGGGTTGGAAGAGACCTCAAATATCCTCTGGTTCTGTCCCCTCCCATGGGCAGGGACACCCTCCCCTATCCCCTATACAGCCTGGCCTCGGACACTTCCAGGGATGGGGCAGCCACAGCTTCTCTGGGGCCCCTGTGCCAGGGCCTCCCCACCCTCATGGGGAAGAATTTCTTCCCAATATCCAAACTAAATCTATCCTTCATCTTAAAGCCCTGTCCCTCCATCCCTTCCAAAGGGATGCCCCTCCATCCCTTGTTCAGAGGCCCTCTCCAGCTCTCCTAGAGCCTCTTCAGGCACTGGAAGGGAGCCCCAAGCTCTCCCCAGAGCTTTTCTTCTCCAGGTGAACTCCCCCAGCTCTCCCAGCCTGGCTCCAGAGCAGACGGGCTTTCTTTTTTTTTGTGTACAGTCACTTCACTCAAAGGAGCAAAGGTAGATGTGGGATGACCCTGCAAAACCCTTCCTTTTATGTGCTTGGTGGGGTTGTTTTATTTTATTTTCCCCCATTTCCCCTCACTGTGTTTGCCATTCTCTTGCTGAGGCAGCAGTGCCTTTTCCCTCTGTGCTGCTCCAGCACGTTGCTGATGGTGGAGACCAGGATGAAGTCTGGAGGTGCCTCCTCTGATTTCCCTGTCCCTCCCAGGACAGTGACCAGTGTTTTCAAAGTGGTTTTCAGTGGGTTTATTGTTCTGAGCAAACAAAAGCAAATGCTTGCCCAGTTCTGTTGAAGATCCCGTGAGGATACTGTGTGAGGACACTGTGCTGCTCTGGGAGCCCGCACCAAAAGCTGGATCATGGAATTACAGGAATATTTAGGTTGGAAAAGCTCTCCAAGTCCATTGAGTGCAACTGTTCCCCCAGCACTGGCAAGGACACAACTGGCCACGTCCCCAAGTGCCACATCCACAGTTAAATTCCCCCCAGGGATGTGACTCCAGCCTGTGCCAGGGCTGGACAACCCTTTTTTCCCTAATATCCAACCTAAACCTTGTCTGGTGCACCCTGAGGCTGTCTCCTCTCATCCTGACCAGCTGCCTGGACACCTCACCATGGCAGGGTGTTGCAAACACTGCTCAAATCTCTTCCCATGACATCACCTCAGAACCACCACTACCTTCACACTCATGAATCTCTTCACCTTTGCATCCTCAAGGTCCCCAGCTGTTACAATGAATAATGATAACCAGATCCACAGTAATCTGTGGATGTTTCCCAAGCAGGGTCAGACCTGGTAACACCCAGAACACAGGGAACAGATCGCCAAGGACCCTGGGGAAGGCACTTTCTCCACAAATTCCAAATACCTGAAAGTTTGAAACCTCTCCTTTTCAGACAAAATAAGCCAAGCTTGGGAGCTGCCATGGAGCTGCCTTTGGATTCAGTGTCTAGACACCAGGACAGCCGTGGAGGAGGGTTTGGCATAAACCAGACAATCCATTCAGTTGTGCAACTCTCTCAATACCCCATGGCTCCGAAAAGTTATGAATTTGAGCAAAATGTTCTTGGGCAATTTTCTGTACTTATTTGAAAGAGGAATTTGATTAGAACAATAGTTATAGAATTAAGAACAAATCCCACCCTGGCACTCAAGAAAGAAATAACCAAAACCAAACACTCAGTTGTACGCTCTGTGTAACAACCTCTGGGCTCAGATGGAGAGACACGACTTGGGATCAGAGTGACCTCATTCCAAAGGGTGTTTGTACCTTGGCAGATGGATGGATCCTGTGCTAAGGAAATATCAGCTATACTCAGTGTCTGCTGCTTAAATCACAATGTTTGAGACTCTCTGACTGGAGGTGGAGCCAGAGAGAGATGGTGCCATGGCACCAGGGCTGGGAGAAGGGGCTCCACCTTCCTGCAGGGCTGGATTCCTGTTCGAAGCCCTTCTAGAGAAACCACTGGGGTAGGAAATAACACAAATCTAAAATATTTCCAATATGCATTCTCTCCTGGGAGAAGGCCCATTGGGATTTCTCACTGACTGCTGGCTAAACTCATGGAATCATGGAATGATTGGGTGGGAAGGGAACTTAGAGATCATCTAGTCCACCCCCTGCTATGGGCAGGGACACCCTCCCCTGTCCCAGGTTGCTCCAAGCTCCATTCATCCTGGCCTTGGACACTGCCAGGGATCCAGGGGCAGCCACAGCTTCTCTGGGCACCCTGTGCCAGGGCCTCCCCACCCTACAGGGAAGAATTCCCTCCCAATATCCCATCTAACCCTGAACTCTGTTTAAAGTCATTTCCCCTTGTCCTGTCACTATGTGCCTGTATGAAAGGTCCCTCTCCCTCCTTCTTTCAGGCCCCCTTAGGCACTGGAAGGGGCTCCAAGGTCTCCAGAGCCTACTCTTTGCCAGGCTGAACACCCCCTGCTCTCCCAGCCTGTCCTGGAGGAGTGGGAATTTGGTGAATCATTTTTAGATGTCAGTCAGGATGACATTTGAACTATTGCTGGAGCATGTTCCAACTGGGATGTTCAGTCTCCCTGGTTTTACCCACAGCTCAGCACACTTCCACCAGGCACAGGGAATTCAGTTACTGCTCCATCAGTTTTCACTGGAGGAGAGACCAGAGCATGGCCCAAAATCTCTGCTGGATTAAGGGAATACAGTGCCAAGGAAAAGGCCCCTCAGAACTCCCTCACCTTCACTGCTGAGGAAGCTGGAGCCCAGCTAACCCCAAGTGTTTGTACAGAACAGGTGGAGCAGCAGGAATAACAATCCCCAGTGCCTCAGGCCTGGAAAATTAAATCCACATTTAGACATCCTCTAGTGGCCCTGGGGGATGCATCCTGAACCCCACTGCATCCAAGACACTCTCACTGAGGTGCTGTTTGGGGTTTCCAGCTCTTGGATTGCTGGGCCGAGGAACAATTTAATGGGAGAGAGGTTTCTGCATTGCAGACATTTTTCTTCTTATTAAATATATCCTGTAGATATATCCTGGATGTGAAGAGACTTTCTATAAAGGCAGGTTTTAGCAGGAGCTGATAAAGTTGCACAAAAAAGCTGTAACAACAGAACTGGGACTTAACCCCAGGTCACTGGTCTGCTCCAGTTCTTTCCCAGAATAAGGAGGCCTGGATTAATGGGAAGTCACACAACTGAGGCAGAGAGGGGCTTCAGCCCCAGCCAAAAGCCCAAAGCTCTCCATGGGCTCTCCCTCTCCCACTGCAGCTCTCCTGGAATCTGGGACCTTTCCAGCAGCACAAGAAACAAACCACAATCAGCTTTTGAGGAGTCTTTTTTATTAAGATAAATCCAGCAAAATTCCTAACAGTGGGTACATACAACCAACCTGCCCTTTTTGAAAAGAAATGTTTGTATTTCATTTAAAAACAGGATTACACTTTTATTTATTTATTTTTCTTTTTTTTTTTTTTTTTCAAAACTGACAAAATAAAATTACATTTGGGAAACAACAGATTTCCAGCTCTTAGGTTTTTTTTCATGAAAATAGCTCACCTTCTTTATAAAAGCAACCCACAGAACCACTGGAATGTTTCACACGGTTATTTGTTTTGAGACCTCCCCACTTTAAGAAACCATACAACACATACAAGGGAAAAATTAAAATCTGAAGTCTGTAAGCATGACTTACACAAAAAGGGACACACTGACAGAAGTCAAAAGCTACCACCACTTATTCTTTCCATGTACCATACAAACTATTACAATCACAAAATTTAAAAACAATGACTTTTTTTTTTGTTGTTTTGTTTTGTTTGTTAGGGATTTAATTCCCAAGTAACCGAGATGAAGATGTTCCATAATTAAATTCATGCTAAAAAAACCTGCATTTATAAAATAGTTGATAAAAATATTCCTCTCTGTTAACAATACAGCATGGAGGTACGGATACCAAATGATGGAGATATAGGGCAGGGTTAACATTACTCGGACTTGGCTTCCTTGTCATCAGATGCTTCAGCAGCTGGTGCCTAGAAAAAGGGTTGGGAAGAATAGAAATATTATTGGTAATGCTAATTGGATTCCAATCTAACCAGCATCAAAAAGAGACCAGTTTGTTAACACAGACGTGGACAAGGCTTTGTGTGGATAGACAGGAATGCACAGAAAACATTGATATAACAATGGGCTGATAATTCTTAAAATAAAAACACAGGAGTATTAATTAGTGAGGTAATTTTGGAATAAGTGCCTGCAGAGAGGCAGAGATTTGGAATATATTTTAATTAGGATCAATTATATGTTAGGGGAAGTTCAAGCCCTCATGATGGGGCAGTGGAAGAATTACACATCAACCACAATCCTGCTCTGTCTGAACTTTGGGGAATTGCTTCTCACCTTTCTCTATAGAAATGTGCTTTTACTTTGCAAGTCTACATATCAAACCTGCAGAGCTCCCTCAAAGCCCCTCTGAAGCACATCAGCCGCTTCTCACCTTTCTCTATAAAAATGTGCTTTTACTTTCCAAGTCACATATCAAACCTGCAGAGCTCCCTCAAAGCCCCTCTGAAGCACATCAGCCATGTAGTGCTCTAACCAAGCAGCTCCTGCTCTTGTTTCAGACAGGGAAGAATAAAGGACCCTTGGCTGGATGGTGCCACTCAACCCATGAAGAGACACCACTGTCAGTGACAGAACACAAGGGGCAAAGAGAGCCCTGGGAAAACACTGCTTCACTATCAGCAAGGAATCTGCTGGGACAATCCCTCAGCAGCTGATGGAGCATGCAGCTGGACCTAGCAAAAGGCAGCTGAGGTAAGGAGCTGCCACAGCAAGGAGCTGTGGGAAGAGGCTGCAGATAAGAGGCAAGACCGAGTCTACTTTGCAAATCCCTTGTTGAATTGTTCTGAGCCAAATAATTGTTCTAAAGAATTGTGTAGAACTCAAAACCAGATTTCTGGCCCAGCACCAACCCGTGCTGAGCAGGAGGAACCCAGCAGTCCAGAGGGGATGTGCAAAGTCAGCTCAGGGCTGGAGGGTGGTGATGTCCCTGGGCTCCCCTGTTCCCCAGATGTTGGGCATTGCTGTGAGCCAGCCCTGAGAGGGGCCAGGGCCAGCAGACAGCACCTGAACAAGGGCTGCAGCACAGGGCAGGAAGGAGCTGGAAGGAGAAGGCCATTCCTGCAGGCTCTCCCTGGAAGCTGCCCTGGGCAGGTGCCACAGCTGCTCTGTCCTCACAGTGTGGCAGTGACCCCCCACCCTTGGAGCCCAGCAGAGCCCCTGCAGCTGTGCTTCCAGCACATCTGGCTGTTCTCAGCTTCACTGGAGCTAAAGTACCTCATTAGTTTTGGTATCTCCATTTTCAGAGTGGTTTTCTTCTTTAGCATCCTCTTGTTTAGTTTCCTCTTTGCCTTTGGCTCCTTTCTTCCCTTTTGTTGCTGCCTTTTTGTCCTCCTTTTTATCATTTGCTGCTTTTTCTTTCTGTTAAGAAAACAGACAGTGATGTATTAAATCCTGATTTCCACCTTGTGCATCAGCATGTTCTCAACTCCAAAACTCTCTGCACAACCTCCTTCCACCCCACAAACTTCCTATTAACTGAGGTGAGATCAGAGTTTCACAGGAGAAATGTTTTCCTTCAGTCTGTCCTGAATGTGCTACAAGGAAGTGCAGAATATAAAAGCAGCCATGGCTGGGGTTAAAAGAATTCTCATTTTAAATAGGCATTCAATTAAATTAGCTAAAAAATGTTGAACTGGCCTGTACTTCTGCCCTGCTGCTGAAAGGCAGCCACAGAAGAAAACCAACATGTGCAAACACCAGAATACTTCAGATGTGCTGTTAATGCCTATTTAGAAAACTGTAACAAAGCTGTAGGCAAAGGACTTTTCCCCTTCCCTGCCAGAAATATTCCTTGTGATAATAAACCACTTCTATGCCAGAAAAACTGGGGACTTAACAGCATCGCTCTGCTAACCACGAGAGAGTTGCATTTATTATTTAAGTGCAGTTTCTTATATGTGGATCAAGCTAAATCAAAACAAAACCCAAAACCTGATGCTTTTGTAGTAATAATTTTCCATAGGCAAGGTCAGATCCTGACCCAAATACCTGACCCTCATTAGTTTCACTTCCAAAGATGTGCCTCTTGCTGCCAGTAAGTAACAGCACTGGCTCAGCCCCTTGCTTGATTAACCTACTTCCCACAGAGGAACCAGAAACCCTGCAAGATCTGCTCACAGCTGAGTGAGGATAAATGAACATTACTGGATATACATTTATCTGCTCAGGAGATTTGTCTCAGTGACTACTAAAAGGTTACAAAAAGTTTACTTTCTTACTTCAATCCCTCATTATTAATGCACACAGTTAATTCACCTTAGAAATGAGCTGCTAAGGGCAAACTCGAGAGTGTTAAGGGGTAAAGTAATCTGACTCTTCAATTATTAAAAATTCACCAAAATTAACAGCAGATCCTCCAATAATGCAGAAAATTTAAGGTGGGGTCAGTACATTCAGTGAGTAAGGGTCTCTTTCCTCTCTAACCTCTGACAACTCAGTCTGAGGGATTTCATCCCACCCTGAAAACTCTCCCAGAGTGTGATGTCAGGAGTCCCTGTCTGGGGAATACCCACTATCCTGGTGCTGTTTGGCAGTGAGAATTACAATTGTACCATGGCACTGCTTATCTGTTCCCTTACCCCACCAAAAAAACCCCACAACAAAGCATTAACAGAGCTAAACCCAATTCTCTGTGCTGGAAAAGTCCCTCTTCAGAAAGCCCTGGAGGAGAACCCAGGGAAATGGACTTCCATGGCTGAACTGACTGGAGAGAAAGGGTCCCACAGGACACAACATGTCCTCAGCTACAGCACTGTGTTCATTTTCCTCAATAATTTTGCTCTAGAGATGGCAACAACAGTTCAAAATTCAGGTCCTGCATTTTAGAAGTGACAAAACTCCTTTGCCAGCTCCGTGTTTTTCAACATGGCAAAGTTTAACAGGTGAAATCTGAAACATGGAAACCATTCCAAGATCCTGAAGGCTGACAAGTAAAGCACTTGGGGCAGACAAAAATTAAAAATGCCTCCACAATTCTTACTCCATCACCCTCTGCACAGGTGTTGATGGTGTTTGAGGAGTTCTGGAGAGCCAAAACCACAGCTCAAGTGGCTTCAAACAGCACCTCAGGAGCAGGAGGACCAACTCTTCCCAAGGGCAGTTGGGCAATTCCCAAGGCACAGCTCCCAGGGGATCCCTGCACGATCCCAAAGGGAGACCACACCAGCCAGCTGTGCACTGGGAGCCCAAATGAAGCTTTGCCAGTCCCTTACAAACCTTAACTCTTGCACCCCTGTTCCTCCAACTTTTCACATTCAGTTAAGGCAGCTTTAGGGTTTAAACCCCACGATGTTTCCATGAAAATAGAAAAGCACACTTGGGAAAAACCCAAAATACAACAACGTGGATCATCCACTGCTGCCCTGCCCTGTGTGCCACCAGCAGCTGGCTCTGCTCTGCCTGGGGCACCAGCCACTAGAGGGAAGTGCAACCCAGAGTGTCCAGGGCTCCATCCAGCCAGGAACTGGTCTAGAATTCCAGCTGCAGCCAGGATGGAACGGGAAAAGCTCGCTCTGCACAGACTGAGCTTACAGAGCTGAGCCCAAAATTACACGTGGGGTTCTCTCTCTTTCCCACAGCATCTCTGCTGTTCCACACAGAGCATGTGGAGGGAAACTTCCCTCACTTGGAAGACTGCTGGGCCATAGGCAATTGCCAATTCCTTTTCAAAGGAAAGGGAAAAAGCTCCTGGTTCCCAGCCCATCATCTCCCTCTGCAACCAAAGTGTCTCCTCACTGTGCTTTGCCCACCTCATCATCCCAAACCACAAGGAAAATGTGTGATGGGAACAGGTTAAAAACTATCACTGAAGTTTTGTTGCTGGGGTGTCTATGGGGTTGTTTTTTTTATTTTTTTTTTGTTGTTGTTTGTTTTTTTAGCTGCAAAATCCTAAATGTTTACAGAAAAATCTAGCAAAAAGGCACTGCAAACTGATGGCTGGGAAGGGTGATAAGAAGGGGATGGAAAGAAATCCCTCATGGATTGCAGAACTGCCCCCTTTGAAATTTCAAACTGTTGCTCCAAACTAAAAAAGAGCTTTAAATAGTTTATTTTTAAATTATACTCAGACGTGCCAGTGTTTCTGACATTTCCAAAAATACCCAGCTGAAGGGGTCTCTACAACCCTGAGTGATTAAAATGTGATAAACTGATAACTAACTGCAGAGAGGGCCTCAGAATGGAAATATAGTAAGAAACTGTAATTAAAAGCACGATTTTCAATGCCTCCTCTAATTGAGTCTCTGATCCCTACTCCAAGCATCATTTTCCCAACAATGCATTATATGAAACTTCAGAATAGCCTTGGAAAGCAGCAGCAAAGCCTCACCACAAGGGATTTCAAATCTGCTCAGTTTACCACATTCCTTCAGCAGCAATTGGATGAAATTATGTCTTTCTCATTATTTCAGCTCACATAATTCCACCTTAAAACTTTCAAGATAATTATGAATATGCAAAGTGGTTAATTGTTGGGGTTTTATCCCTGTAAATGTCTTGAGAAGGAAAACATAACTTCAGTTCAAAACCCTTACCTTAGGTGCTGCCTTTTTGGGCTTTGGCTCCGGTTTGGGTGGAGCAGGTTTCTGCAAAAAACACAAGAAACAAATCAGGTGAATACCAGAAATAAATACTTATTTTTATGAGCATTATCTTGGTAGCTTTTGAAAATTATTGGTTAGCCCTGCAAAAAAAATCAATGGGCAAATTACCAGGCTAAGGAGAGAGCAGGTGATTTACAGAGCCACGAGCATTTGTATGGAGAAGTCCTACAGGGAACAAATCCATCCTGGAATCAATATTCCTTAACTCTGGATACTTGTGGATGGAATGTGCAGATGGAGTGTGCACTAACACAGACCTTGTATCTCACATGAGAAGCCTGGGGAGGCTCAGGGAACAGAAACATGGAATGGGAATTTTAAATATTGCAATACTCTAAGTGTGCCTTTCCCAATTCTGGGGGAAAAACCCCAACAGTTTATTTTTAACTGTCCCCATCCCAAGTGATAAAATATTAAAGGGTAACTACAGATACTCACAGCAGATAGTCTGGCTGACCTTCTCTTTGGCTGCATAAGGAAAGATATGTCAGTAAAATTCAGAGAGCACATAAAGCACAGCTTTCTCATGACAGCCACCCAAAATAACACAGCATCATGGAGCCCCATAGAAATCCTAGGATTTATGAAATTATAGGCATTATTGTGAGGACCTTGATGACTCCCCATCCCTGGAAGTGTCCAGGGCCAGGCTGGATGGGGCTTGGAGCACCCTGGCATGGTGGCAGGTGTCCCTGCCCGTGGCAGGGGCAGAACCAGAGCACATTTGAGGTCTCTTCCAACCCAAAGCATGCTGTGACCCATGATCCTTGTACGCACAACTCGCAGTATTCTGTGACTTCCCAGAAGTGACCCTTTGCTCAGCAGCTCTCTGCTGCCGCCACTTTACTCTGCTGACGACCTCGAAGGGACAAATTTTCTTTCCTTGCAGGAGCTGTGAGACTCAAAGGGACATGTTCCCACTGGAACCTGTCCCTGACCTCAGCCCAGGGGAGCTGCTGGACCCCCAGTGCCACCTTGGGGGGTCACCTGCCACCTCTGAGGACAGTGATGGCCCCGAGCACCCCAAAACTAGGCGCAGGCCACCCCCAGGGGCTGAACACCCCTCATGAGCTGCGTGGGCCTCCTAATTTCTGCAGAACCCCACGGGAATTCTTGGAGTGGGGACCACACACAACTCCTACCTCCTCCTTTGCCTCGCCTTCAGCTGGAGCCTGCAAAGAAAGCGAGACACTGAGGTGAGAAGGCAGCACCATCCCCTGTGACTCCACCTGAGCCCTGAGGGGAGCTGGGGGGGCTAACAGGGCCCCCCAACACCGCCCGCAGCAATGGCGGCCTCCCCCCATCCCCGCCGCCTCGCGGACTACAACTCCCACAACGCCCCGCGGCAGCCGTCACTACGTCATCACGTCGAGTTCGAAAAGTTCCCGCCAATTTCCCCTCACACAACAAGGTCGCCGCGGGCCCCGCAAGGACAATGAGGAACAACCGGGAAGGCGGCGATCGCGCCCGCCCGAAGCGTTTCGACTGGGTCCGGGCCCCCGGCGGCCCCGTCCGGGACCGTGAGGCGCCTGCACCGGGTCGAAACCCCTCAGGCGGGCGCCACGGTGATGGTGGGGCGACCGCGTCTCCGCCCCGCCCCCCCAGCCCGCGCTGTGAAGGATGGGGGGGGCGCCCCATATTCCCGCTGCCCCAAAGTTCCTGACTACGGCGATAAATCCCGTTTCCCCGCTTTCCTTGAAGGCCAGTTTCAAATTCTGCGCCGCCTAATGGCCCCAAATTACCATTGCACAACCATCTGGTATGACAAGAAGTGGGAGGCAAAAAAAAAAAAAAGGAGAACAAAGGCAAACGCAGGAGAAAGAGGCGACGTTTAAAGGCGAATCCAGCCGGGAATGGCGCGATGGGGATTAAAACGCTGGCGGAGGTGGGTGGGGGGCCCTGGGGGGGTCGTGGCGCAGGTTTTGGGGGGGTTTTGCTGCCCCGCGTTCTCCACAGGGGCAGCACAGCACTATGGCTGTTTGTAATCCAGCATGGAGACACTGCTGCTCCAGCCTTCTCCTCCTTCCCAAACAAAACAGCCCAAAAGTGAACTCGCCGCGCTGCCCTGCCCGCCCCGAGCCCTCTCCCTCCGCTCCCCGCTCCGCTCTAGGACATACGCCGAAAATTAAAAACGCAAAAAAAGAGAAACCAACCAAAAAACCCAAAAAACTCCACACACACACGCGCGCGCGCGCTAAATTTTTTTTTTTTTTTACAGCTAAATTTCCGCGATTGCCGCTTTAATCTCTCCCCCTTCTCTCCCCATCTGCCTTCCCTCGTTTTTTAATTAATTTTTTTTCGTACTTACCTTTCTTTTGGGCATAGTTGCACCTTAATAGTTGATTGCAAAACCTAATAGAGATAAGATATCGAAAAATAAATGGAAGCGGCGAAAAACTGTTCCGACCGTCCTGCAAAAAAAAAAAATAAAAAAAAAAAAAAGAAAAAATAGACAGGAAAAAAAACCCCAAAAATAAAAAGGAAGATGTTTAAGGGACCAAGAGTTAATTGCGGCAGAAACTGAACAAAAAAAAAAAAATCCCCCCCTCTTTATTGCAAACAGTAAAATACACCAACACGCAACCAAACTGCATGAATGGGGAGCGCGAGATGGGCCCGGCCGCTGACTGACGGCCGCATCGACCAATGGGAACGCGGGGAGCGGCGCGGGGGCGGGGCGTGGGCGGGGCCGCCGTAGCGCGAGCGCCGCGCGCTTTCCGCGTGTGCGCGGCCCGGAGCGCGGCCCC